TTAAAACTTTCCTCAGCAATCTCATATAAATTATTTATACACGGACTTTTTAATAAGATGACGGTGTCATCAGCAAAACAAATTATTTTACCAGGAGTATCTTGATGAAGAAGCCCATTAATGTATATTATAAATATCAAAGGTCCAAGAACGGTACCTTGTGGAACAGAGTAATCAATATCAAGTTCATTACTATAATTGTGCGACGGCTGCACATCAAGCCCGTTGACGCGTGTACGCGTATGCGATTGCGGCTACACGTAGCGCGTCGCGTGTGAACTTACCTCGTCGGCGACCTGTCGATAACCCTTTAATGTGGGAGTGAGTGGACTGTATTAAAATAGATAGAAAAATAGGAGCTGGTTGGGACAGGAAACTTAACACTGTAACGACAATACGAGATACCTACCTACTGCGGTAACGCAAATATAAAGCAATTGTTTGCTGTCTAAAATATACAAATAATTTATTATATGTTCTGCAATTGAATCTTAAGTACTAGTGTTAGTGGTGCGCGATCACAAGCCGATCGGCGAAAACAATATATGGTGCACGTCGAAGACGGCGAATAAAACAAATAAAATAATAATACAAAATGCGTCGAAAACCCTATGACGATAACATACAATAACAAATAATGCGCGTGTGCACGGTCTTAGAATAATAGGTCTGGCAAGTCGACGCCTGAATGGTGTTTTTATTACGGTAAAAATCCAGATCTAGCGCAGTGCTGCTCTCTAGTAGTGTATTGTACGAACGCTAATATATTGGTTGTATAGATCTATATAGTAGATGGTGCTCTAAGCATTTCAATTTATTTATAATATATATATATTTTTTTAGATGTTATATTAAATAAGGGCATAAAATGTATAGGTATAATTTAAGTAAATATATTCTATATTCTGTATTATAGGTTATACCACCGTCTTAGAATAATATAATACAAAGTTAAACAATATAGGTTATAACTTATAAGTTATAACCATTAAAACTAAACAAAATGTATTAAGCTCAATGATATTGATATAATAAAATTATTTCAAAAATTGTCTTAGTTACTACATTTTTGTTACTTCTTTCATTTAAAATGCCCCAATTATGTTGTATATGTAAAAAGAATACTGAAGGTATTACTAGTTTTGTGGTGACTTGTAAAAGACTAGAAACTTGGGGAAATGTTTTTCAGGGGTTAAGTGTTGGACAGAGAATCTGTGAAAAACATTTTTCTTCGGCAGATATTGTGAGAGAAAAAATTGTAAAAGATTCTACAGGCAATATTTTGACTAAGGTGAGAAGTTATATTATAATAATAGGTACAAGTTATACCTAAGTCAAAATGTATTAATTTGTTTAAAAAGTTTGACTCAATTGATATGTGTAAAGGAATAAGTATACCAGAGGAACACAAGAAATACAAAACTAAAACTACTTGCTTTGATATAGATGGTCGTTTCCGGCATATAAACTGTTCATTAGTTTACAATTATGAAAAATCTTTAAAAAAAATTCCGAAACTTAAAAGTTGTAAATACTGCACAAAAGTAGGGTACCTACATTATCCAAAATAAAAAGTATAAACATACTCAACAAAAACTACATAGAATACACATACAAGTAACACCAAGTAAACTAGACAAACTTAAACAACTACGGAAACAAAGTCAAATAAATATTCAGTTAAAAAAAAAATTAAAAAAGGTGGGTAAGTGGATGTCGCTCTGCTGTACAGTAGGTTACAAGTGGGTCACTGTATAATGGATGCTATTAAATTTGAATTCAATGATACAATATCATTGTATAAGAAAAACGATTCTGAGCGAAGACGGTATGTCAGTCTAGGTTTAATACAAATTATATACATATCTATGGTATTAAAAAAAAAATTGACCTATAATAAATTCCAAATTAATCATATCACATTATCACAATATCCATTAGGTACTTATAACACGTTATACATCAACATCAACAACAAACCCTGATACTATCATATATATATAATAGTACACTTTAGAAGTTTCAAGTAGGTACCCACGAATAATATTATATAATCACAACAAAATAACTAGGTTTTTTAATATGTAATTTCGTCCAAATTTGAATATAAAATGACTATAAAAGTAAACTGTGATTGTATATTTTTTAGATTTTTCGGTAAGAGAATTAACTACTTACGTGGAATCTTGTTTTAAATTTTCAATCCTTAGCTATAAAAACTGAACATTTTATAATTTATTAATTACGATGATTAATAATTTTCGAGATTTTGAAAAATTCTATCAAAATTCGATGTTAAAATGCTTATAAAAAAAAATTGTGCCTATGTATTTTTAATATTTTTCAACTGATATTGTAACAATATATCAGGAGCCTTGTATTAAATTTTTACACTTTTTGGCCCAACAGATAAAACTTAATTGATATTTATAGAAAAAAAAAACGAAAAAAATTGAAAACTGAAAATGTCCGTAAACGGCTCAAAAAGTGTCAAAATATTTTCAAAATTGTAGGGTGTATAGGAAATGCTAATATAAACATTCAGTGAAATTTTCATGTATCTACAGTAATTCGTTTTTTAATTACAACAAAAAAAGGAAATTGCCACATGAGAAATCGAGTGAATATCCAATGTTGTAAAAATTTGAATTTCAAACGCTCATAAAAATTTAATTTGACTTTCCGGTAGAGATTTTTTTATTGATAAAGGTAGACAATCTTATGAGTAATCTTGTATTAGATTTTCAAATCTTAGATTTAAAAAGAAAAATTTTTACGAATTCTTAACTCAAAATAATTTGCTAATTTTCGTGATTTTTCCATATTTTGTCAATTTTTGAACTTTAAATGCTTATAAAAAAAAATTGTGACTAAGGATTTTTAATATTTTTCATCTGCCTTTGAAACAACATATTAGGAGCCTTCTATTAAATTTTCAAGCTTTCGCAACCAACAAATAAAATTTTATTGAAATTTTTAGAAAAAAAACTAAAAAAAAATGGAAAATGAAAATGTCCCTAAACAGTTCAAAATAAATCAAAATATTTTGAAAATGTTATCGTGTATAGAAAATGCAAATATAAACAACCAGTGAAAATTTCATGTATATACGTTCATTTGTTTTAGAGTTACACCAATAACCAAAATCGATTTTTTGGAAAATCAATTTTGCGTAAAAATTCCCGTTTTTCCTTAATTTTTATGTTGTTTTTCCCGGCGCTTGTGAAAACTACTGGGAAATTTTAAATTTTGACCTCCCCAATGCACCAACGATATTCACTTTCCAATCGAACAAGATACTGAAGTCGAAAATCGAAGCATTATTTCGACTACTTATCGTGTATACAGATACAAAAAAAATAAAAAAAATAAAAAAACACACATCATTGTAAAATCAATACATTCATCGTTTCACTCAGAATCTAAAATAGATTGTCAGAATTAAGAACTAACTTATAATATATTTACATTACGTAATAGGTATATAATATTATTATTTATTACTAGGTATGTATATATATATACCATGATATATAATATAATAATATTGATGTGCTTAGTGTACCATCTAGCTTTATACAATAAATATATAGACGATCGTTGGCTTTAATATTAACCACTAGAGCGCAGCAGAGCGCTAGATCCGGATTTTTAGTGCGAAATCGACAACAGTTCTTTGTGTAGATAACTCTTGAGTTGCATAGGCCTGCGCGTGTGTACGACCTGATACGCTGAGGTTGATAGCAGGTGATAAGGTGGTGATGGAGCTGTTGACCCGGAACGACGGTGAGGCTGCAACTGTTCGCGTCGGCGACACTGGTACTTCCGTCGAAAATGGCGAATGTAGTCGACGACACCGCGTGCTTGCGTTCGGTGGTCGACGATGGCGTGGAGGCGTCGGGAGGATACCAAAATAGGCCGGCGCGGGCAAAATTACAATCGGCACTTGCGTACCCGTTGTCGCGGCGTAGAACGCGGCACAAACGACAACACTTAAACGTCACGGCTGATGCGCTCGCACGATATAGGGCGGGCGGAAAAACGCGTAGACGCGTGAGACAATATTCGCGTGGCGAATGTCGTACTGATGACGACGCAATACAATAAAACGATGAGCGGTAATGACCGCGAGGACGGATTCGCACGACTTCGAACGGACGGACGAAAACAATACGTGTACACGTGGGTACGTGGGGACGAGCCGTGCTCGAACCACACGACGATAGTCGGGCGGGCGACAAAATTACGATATTCTGAACGAATGATCGCACAAATACTTCGGTGGCGACGCGGCGTAAATGCGACGCACACAGAAGGAACCGACGGATTCAAATGACGAAACCGACGGGCGAACGGTAAACGTGTAGACACGTGGGGACCACGGCGGGGTCGCACTGCGTTAGAAACGAGCGGGCGACGAGAAAAATACAATAAGCCGTGGTTTTGGCACTGAGCCGGAACTCGTATCGCGAAGACGAGTTGATGAGCAGCGAGGCTCGGGTGCACGGAACAACATGGACGGTATTGACGGCGACGGCGCACCGGATCGCGTTGGTTAAAACATGTGGTTTTAACCCGAAATTTGCCAAGACGGCGGAGACGCGACAGTTGCCTTAGACGGCTCGAAAACGACGACGACGGAGGCGGACGGTAAACTTTCTGGGGTCTCGACAGCGGCGAGACCGTCCCCACTCTGGAGGTACAAAGGTTGACTTTGCAGTGCGCTCCAGTGTAGAAAACGTTGCGACACGGGACATGACGGATACACCGCGCGCAAATTCAAATTGCAATGTGTACCCAACATTTCCTCCCCGCGTTGAAAGACCCAGGGTCTTTCAAAAAAATCACCAGACTTGAACATTGAGTTTGAATTTCAGATCGTACACAATACAAAAAAATACGGAGCTAAGATACATAAATACATAGATAACATAATTAACATAAACAAATGTGACTAATGCACGAAAAAATAATAACAATATTTACAATGAGGACATGAGTCAGGGCTCGACAGGTAGGCGCACGAGTTTTACAACTGGGCGCTTGTAGACGCCGTCTTGAGTGCGCACGGACACGACGCGCACGACATCATCGGATCCGGGATGGACCTCTGTGACACGGCCGAGACGCCACTCGGTTGGTGGTCGAGACGGGGCTTCAACGATGACCATGTCACCGATCGACAAATTCGGGGACGACTTGAACCATTTTGGTCGACTCTGGAGTGTAGACAAGTATTCGCGTGACCACCTTTTCCAAAATGACTGATGACACTGACGGATGAGTTGCCATCGATTCAGTCGGTTGATTTGAACGTGGGTGGTGTCTGGTTCGGGCATGGCATGGATCGGCTGCCCAATCAGGAAGTGTCCTGGCGTTAATGCGTTCAAATCATGAGGGTCGGATGAAATCGGCGTGACCGGTCTGGAGTTTAGAATGCCCTCGATGCGTGTGGTCAAAGTGAGGAACTCCTCGTATGTTAACACTTGTTGGCCGATGACGTGCTTGAGATGAGACTTGACGCTTTTGATACCGGCCTCCCACAGTCCACCGAAATGTGGCGCGGCAGGCGGGTTGAAATGCCATGTGCAGGCTAGGTGCGACGATAGACGGTCTTGGGCCCGGGCGTCACGAAACAACATTTTTAGCTGGCGTGCGGCGCCAACGTAATTTGTACCGCAGTCCGAATAAACGTTAGACGGAATTCCACGGCGGGCAACGAACCGGTCCAAAGCTGCGAGGAAGGCGTCAGTGCTGAGGTCTGATACGATTTCGAGGTGGACCGCCTTGACGGACATACAAATGAATAAGGCGAGGTAGACCTTGACCGAATGTGCATTTCGACGACGGTGTTCCTTAACGAGGAACGGCCCTCCGTAGTCCATGCCGACATGTGAGAACGGACGATGAGGTTGAACTCGGTAGGACGGTAAGTCAGCCATCAACGGTTGAGGGCGGACAGCCGTGTGGCGTGTGCACGGGACGCACGAAAAAATGGTACGACGAACTGCAGCGCGGGCAGATAAGATCCAAAACTTTTGACGTAACATAGACAGTATCAGTTTGGAGCCGCCGTGCAAAAATGACAAGTGATAATGGCGGATGATCAGCTCGGTGAGGTGCGAAGATCGCGGCAGCAAAATCGGGTGCTTCGCGTCATGACTGGCATCGGAAAAGCGCAGACGGCCCCCGACTCGGATGATACCCTTCTCGTCGACGTAGGGCGCCAGTTGTGCCAAGGACGGCGGCGAAATCGTGGATTGATTTTTTAACATTTTGATTAAATCGGCAAAACAACGTTGTTGTGTACGCTGTACGATGATCGATAACGACGCTTGTCGCTCGGCGAACGTGATAGGACCGACACGGATCGGCTGTCGTCGTAAACGATGAGACAAATAACGGGAGACGTACGACAATACTCGTAGCATTTTGTCAAGCGACGAAAAACGACTGATGAAGTCCAATGATGACGATTGAGTGTTGACGGCCAATGTTGCGACGACGTTAGGCCGAGTGTCCGGCAGCTGCTCCGGAGCGAACGGAATAAATTTCGATTGTGGCCATTGGTCTTCAGGAAGACGTAGGAATTCGGGACCGTTCCAGTAGATGGACGAGGACAACATCGACTTCGGTAAAAGTCCGCGAGATGCTGGGTCAGCGGGGTTGTCGTTCGTTGATACGTAGTTCCAACTACAGCTAGGTACTAATTGACTTATTTTGGCAACCCGGTTGGTTACAAAAATCCTGAAATGTTTTTGGTCTGACGTCAACCATGACAAAACCACCGATGAGTCCGACCACGCTCGCAAACGTGATACGGCAATTTCGCTGGACAACACGGAGTGCACGTGATGAAGCGTGCGCGCGAGTAGCAGGGCGCCGCACAGCTCTAGGCGCGGTATAGATAACGATTCGTCGGCGGCAGAGCTCTTCAGGGGGGCAACCTTCGTCTTGCTGGTGATGAATTTCACAGAAATGTTGCCGACAGTGTCGACAATGCGCCAATAAATGACGGCCGCATAACCTTTAATTGACGCGTCCGCGAAGCCGAGTAACTGGATGTCCTGGTGACATGTGACGTCAATGTGACGTGGTAAATTCAAATCGAAAACTAGCGGCAACTCCGTGCAAAATTGTTGCCACATCGATTGCAACTCGTCGGGCATCGGATCATCCCAGCCGAGTTTCGAACACCACAATAACTGCATAAAGCACTTTGCCCACAACAACATCGGGCCGAGCGCGCCGACGGGGTCGAACAAACGCGCGATGATGGACAACACCTGGCGTTTCGTGGACGACGTTTGTTGGAGGCTGGTGTGGTATGCGAAGCTGTCAATGTTGGTGTCCCAATGCAGGCCGAGGACTTTGACGGCGTGCTCTTCTCGCGGGTCGAAAGACATAGATTGTACTCGATCGTCGGACGGGACGGATTCGAGTATGGCGGTACTGTTGCTAGTCCATTTGCTTAATGTGCAGGCGCCGCTGCGTAGTAGACCAACAATATCTTCTTTTCGACTTAATAGCAGTTCTTCTGTGTCGGCGCCGATAACGATATCGTCGACGTAAGCGGCACGAGTGAGGACGTCCTTCGCTAGTGGAAAACGAAAACCTTCTTGACGGTCGAGCTCGTGAAGACAGCGTATGGCGAGATACGGCGCGCAGTTGAGACCGTACGTGACGGTACACAGTTGAAATTCGACGAGTTCGTCGTTGGGCGAGTCGCGCCAAAATATGTGTTGAAATGTCCGGTCTTCTTGACGGATTAAAATTTGTCGATACATTTTGACAATGTCGGCGGACAAAATGTACCTGTGCATGCGGCAACGAAGTAGTATGTCGCGTAGGTCGACTTGTAATTTAGGCCCGGTGCACAAGACGTCGTTGAGAGAGCGACCGGATGACGAAGCGGACGAGGCGTCGAACACGACGCGTATTTTGGACACGTCACCGTCGGCCTTAAGCACGGCGTGGTGCGGAATGAAATATGTGCCTGGTGATGGAGCTGGTACCATGTGTCCTAGTGATTGGTATGTTGACATAAACTTTCGGTAGGCCGCGTACAAAACGGAATCATTGGTTAACCGTTTTTCCAAATTATAAAATCGTTTTAGCGCTATGGAGCGCGAGTCACCGAGACCGTGACGCGGCGCGGCGTGTTGACGTTGATCTGAGTCGGTGAATAAATGACGAAATGGCAGGGCAACACAAAATCGACCTGTCGAATCACGTGAAGTAGATGTCTTGAAATATTCTTCACACCATTGGTCCTCTGTGGTGGGCGTCGATGGTGCGGCGGGTTCTTCGACCTGCCAAAACTGTTGAATTAAGTCCCCAATCGCCGGCGGACTTACGGCAGTGGTCAACGCGGATAAGGATGACGAATTCGGCGTAGTGAATGATCCAAAAACTATCCACCCTAGTTGCGTGTCCAAGGCCGATGGAAGGCCGGGATGGTGCTCGACGCCGGCGTGGGCGCGAACCAGACTTGGTAATATGTCGGCGCCGAATAGAACGTCGACGCGCGACGGAATGTCGAAATTGTTGTCGGCGAGACAGAGGTGTTGGTACTTAGCGCGTACGCTCGCTGGTAACCGCGTAGACGGCATGGTGGTGGTGATTTGAGTGAGGATCACTAAATCGACTGACGGGAACAACTGAGGGTCAAAATGCGACGAAAATTGACAGCTGGTTGCGCCTTGTACTTGATTCACGGGACTTTGCGCGAGACCGACGATATTAGTTTTGAAACGACGTTTGGACAGACCTAACCGAGCGAAACAGTCGCTTGTCATGGCCGAAATTTGGGAGCCGCTGTCGAGTAGCACTCGAACTGAATGAACCTGGTCCCAGGCATCCTTGATGTGTACTATTGCAGTACCGAGTACGACCGTGGAGTTGGTGCACGCTGCACCTGAAAATGAACTCGATTGTTCGGCGGGAGAACCTGAGCTGGTATTCTGACCCGCGGTTGCTTTTCGATCGTAATTAACATGTAGCATTGTATGGTGACGTTTGCTATTGCACGAGCGACACCCCTTTGTTGACGTGCACGCAGCCAGCATATGATTCGGGCTCATGCACGCGAAACATAGTTTCCGTGACACTACGAGTTCGCGGCGCTTTTCAACGGTCATGTCGTTGAACTTTGAACATTGGTAAATGATATGGTCGGTCTTATCGCATGCCGGGCAACTTCTCGATTTCGACTTGACTGTAGATGTGGTGGCGGCAAAAACTGATTTCCTAGGTGCCACGAATTTACGCGTATTATTGTCGCGCGGTTTTACGATACTAGCGGGTTTACTGTCGAAATTACTCGAACCTTTTATGTTTTCCAATACTCGGCACCGCTGTTGGACAAAATCGAGTAATTCGTCGAACGTAGGGATTGTCGACGGAGAGATACTGGATTCGAATAGTTGTATCGTGGACGCATCAAGAACCCGAGATCCTATGTGAAATAGTAAAAAACCAGCGAGGTCATTGACACCGAGCGACTTGATTAATGACACATTTTCTTTGAAGGTGTCGACGAATGATAACAGCGATGTAAGCGATTCGCGTTCGATAGGCTTAAAAGCAAACAGCTTATCTAAATGTGCGGAAGCTAATAGACGTTTGTTATCAAAACGCTTGGATATTGCATCCCACGCGAGAGCGTAATTGTTCGCGGACAACGGTATTGATTTAATGACTTTTAACGCGTCACCTTTTAAGCTCGCCAATAAAAAATGAAAACGTTGTGCGTCGCCAATAATAGTGTTATCGTGCACGAGAGAAATAAAAATGTCGCGATAAGAACGCCATTCTAACAGATTACCGTCGAACGTAGGTAAGTCGATTTTCGGTAACGGAATAAATTGCTGCGACGTAGAGGCGATGGATGACGACGGCGACGATTTAATTTCGGAAACATTCGCGGGAGCGGCACTCGCGGGAACGGCACTCGCGAGAATTGTTTTGATTTCGAGACGCATGGAGTCCATGGTCGAAATCAACGGATGATCATTTTGTTCGAATTCGGGAACACGGTTTACGCTGATTAATGCGTCAATAATAATATCTTGTTGATACTGGAATTGATCGACGAGAACATTTAAATCTTCGGCGTGAATAATTAATGTCGGAATTTTACTTATATCAGCGCGTGCCTCTACTGCTGTATCGTGAATACGGTTGATTGACTTTAATAGAACATCGCGTTTTGCACGCGCTCGTGTTAAAATATTTTCTGGGTCTTCTTCCTTCTTTGATGGTGCCATTACGATGTAGTACGAATTCGACGAAGAAATCACACGGAAATGCGATCCGGCTCGAAGGACCAAACAATGTGCGACGGCTGCACATCAAGCCCGTTGACGCGTGTACGCGTATGCGATTGCGGCTACACGTAGCGCGTCGCGTGTGAACTTACCTCGTCGGCGACCTGTCGATAACCCTTTAATGTGGGAGTGAGTGGACTGTATTAAAATAGATAGAAAAATAGGAGCTGGTTGGGACAGGAAACTTAACACTGTAACGACAATACGAGATACCTACCTACTGCGGTAACGCAAATATAAAGCAATTGTTTGCTGTCTAAAATATACAAATAATTTATTATATGTTCTGCAATTGAATCTTAAGTACTAGTGTTAGTGGTGCGCGATCACAAGCCGATCGGCGAAAACAATATATGGTGCACGTCGAAGACGGCGAATAAAACAAATAAAATAATAATACAAAATGCGTCGAAAACCCTATGACGATAACATACAATAACAAATAATGCGCGTGTGTACGACCTGATACGCTGAGGTTGATAGCAGGTGATAAGGTGGTGATGGAGCTGTTGACCCGGAACGACGGTGAGGCTGCAACTGTTCGCGTCGGCGACACTGGTACTTCCGTCGAAAATGGCGAATGTAGTCGACGACACCGCGTGCTTGCGTTCGGTGGTCGACGATGGCGTGGAGGCGTCGGGAGGATACCAAAATAGGCCGGCGCGGGCAAAATTACAATCGGCACTTGCGTACCCGTTGTCGCGGCGTAGAACGCGGCACAAACGACAACACTTAAACGTCACGGCTGATGCGCTCGCACGATATAGGGCGGGCGGAAAAACGCGTAGACGCGTGAGACAATATTCGCGTGGCGAATGTCGTACTGATGACGACGCAATACAATAAAACGATGAGCGGTAATGACCGCGAGGACGGATTCGCACGACTTCGAACGGACGGACGAAAACAATACGTGTACACGTGGGTACGTGGGGACGAGCCGTGCTCGAACCACACGACGATAGTCGGGCGGGCGACAAAATTACGATATTCTGAACGAATGATCGCACAAATACTTCGGTGGCGACGCGGCGTAAATGCGACGCACACAGAAGGAACCGACGGATTCAAATGACGAAACCGACGGGCGAACGGTAAACGTGTAGACACGTGGGGACCACGGCGGGGTCGCACTGCGTTAGAAACGAGCGGGCGACGAGAAAAATACAATAAGCCGTGGTTTTGGCACTGAGCCGGAACTCGTATCGCGAAGACGAGTTGATGAGCAGCGAGGCTCGGGTGCACGGAACAACATGGACGGTATTGACGGCGACGGCGCACCGGATCGCGTTGGTTAAAACATGTGGTTTTAACCCGAAATTTGCCAAGACGGCGGAGACGCGACAGTTGCCTTAGACGGCTCGAAAACGACGACGACGGAGGCGGACGGTAAACTTTCTGGGGTCTCGACAGCGGCGAGACCGTCCCCACTCTGGAGGTACAAAGGTTGACTTTGCAGTGCGCTCCAGTGTAGAAAACGTTGCGACACGGGACATGACGGATACACCGCGCGCAAATTCAAATTGCAATGTGTACCCAACAATAATCATTATCAATTTTTACTCTCTGTACCTACTCGACCGTTTAGGTATGATTTAAATAACCTATACGCAACGCCTCTAATTCCACAATGATAAAGTTTATCGAGTAGAATATTGTGGTCAACTGAGTCAAAAGCTTTTTTAATATCTAAAAAAATTCCAAGAACGTGTTGCTTATTGATATCAAGATTTTCATATATGTATTGAGTGGTTTCATATAATGCATTATTAGTTGAGAGATTGCTACGAAAACCAAATTGATTATCGTGAAAACAATTATGGTTATCTAGGAACTCTTATAATCTACCTTTAATGCATTTTTCAAATATTTTTGACAATGTTAAAGTGAGCGATATAGGCCTATAATTAGAGCATTTTTCTTTGTCACCGTTTTTATAAATTGGGATAACTATAGACTCTTTAAATGCTTTCGGAAACTCCTCTTTAGAAATAAAAATATTAAAAATAATAGATAAAGGAACAGCAATAGAATTAGATGTTTTTTTAAGAACATAATTAGATATTGAGTTTTTAGAAAAAGTATTGACATTTTTAATAGTTTTCAATAGGTTAAGGACTTCAAGCGGTTCAATTGGTTTTAAAAATATAGTGTCAGAAATGTAACAGTTCTTGTTAAGTGTATCAAAAACTAACAGGTTGGAAGTTATAACTCTTAATATTATTAGATATTACGCTACCGACTTTAGAGAAAAAACTATTAAACTCATTTGCAATGTTTTCTTTCCCAGTAATTTTTTCACCACCATTATTAATAAGACTGCTGACAATTGTACTCTTTACTTTATTACTATGCGATACATCTTTAATTAAATTCCAAATTTTTTTTGAATCTGATCCAGCATGTACAATAAGTTTTTGGTAGTGAAAGTTCCTTGATAGCTTAATTGTACTGTTTAAAACATTTCTATAATTAACGTATTTACATTTAAGTAATGTATTAAATGGTTGTTTAAGTAACTTCGTATAGATTTTTTCTCGATTTCTGATTGATATAATTAACCCTTTGGTAATCCATTGTTTTATTTTTTTATATTTAGATCTACAATGTTTAGCGTTAGTTGAGGATAAATTAATAAAAGAATTTATCACCTGGTTAAATTTTTCAAGAATAGTATCTATGCAGTTATAATTATAAAGCCAGTCCCAATTCTCCGTACTAATAAGCATATTAAGATGATCAAAGTTAATGAATATTCGTTCAGGTTCAAGAATGGGGTTATTTATTACTCGTGACTGTAGTATCTCGTCAATAATAATAGTGGAAAAGTGATCAGTAATATTACATTTAACCCGTAAGTGGTATGGTACGGTCACACAGACCGCTGCAGTTTTTTGTTTTGATTTAGGTGATAAGGTATTAATGATACAATCAAAGAGGTTGGTTTTACCTTTCCACGGAGATAGTACAAAACGGTAACTAATGGTTATGGAGGTAAACATGTTAAATACTGGTGTTAACAGCTGTTTTAAAGTGATAAGCGGTCTGGCGGACCGCACCATACCATCTACGTAATTATTTTTTCTAATCAAAATTTGACAAAGTTCATTAACGTTTTTTATTTTTTCGTTATTTTCAATTAAAAAAAAATAAAAATGGATGAAGCTAGTTCATCTAACAAGTGGGTCAAGCAATAAATATAAAAAATTAAGTCGAATATGCGATTTTTAATTTATTTCATTCAAAATATGTAGATCTATCAATGATAAAAAGGGCTATTTTGACTTACATTATTTGTGTCTAAAAATTAAAATTTTTGAACCATTCTTTTTCTTATATTGCTTTTAATTATATCTACTTCAATATTTAGATGTTGATGGAGTTCAAAACGTATTTTTAAACACTTAAGGCTTTGTCGAAGCACAAGTAAGAAATAACATAGCAATTTTTTAAGATGTCTATAAAATGAATTATTTTCTTAAAAAGTGTCAAATTTGAGTCGAAAAAATGATAGTCAAATAAAAGTTGACACTGTAAATGTATTATTTCTGCAAATAATGCGATGGAATAATTGAAAAATATGGTCTTAATATAATTAACAAAATTAAGTGGTCCAGGAGACCGCACCATACCATAACCGTGATTTTTTTTCACCATACCACTTACGGGTTAAGAATATAAGCATAAAATCTACCCGAGTCAAAGATAGTGCAGTCAGCTGCTGGTTTATATTGTTTTATAAAAATATGATCAATACATGTTTTAGAATTTCCACTAATTCTAGTAAAGTCATTAATTGCCGAAGTATAACCAAATTTGGCCAAAGTATTAAAATATGCATTGGTTTCATAAGAGTTGGAAAATAAATTGATGTTAATGTCACCGCAGATAATATGATTATCTGAAAGATAATTATCGAGAGAGGTAATAAATTGTTTAGTATCATAACATGGTGACCGATAAATACCTGTAACTATATACTGAGTACCACCTTTATCTACAGATAATTGAATTGAACTACTGTTGTTATTAATAATTTGTGTACACATTTTATCAAGTTTACAGTCGTTACTAATAAGTACGGAAACACCGTCAGATTTATTTATTATTCGGTATTCCTAAAGAATGAAACATTTGATATCCATTAATTTTTATATTACACTCGTCTTTCATCCATGTTTCACTTAAAACTATAACATCAAATCTATTATTAATGGAGCTTAAGTATACTGTTAGTTCATAAATATGCGCTTTAAATTAAGGCTACTAATATTCATCGAAAAAACACTAAGACAGTTATTCTTAAATTGTATGTCATCAATACAATCGACAGATATAGTTTCAATATTATTGATATTATTAATATTGTTATGTAAAAAATATATATCAGTACCTATTGGCCTATTCATAATTGATAAAACTAAAATACTAAAATTTAAAACAAAGGAAAATATATGGTTGGAACTTAATTTTCAAATCCATAGTTGCTCAATTGATTTTTCAGTATCAATTGACATTAATTGGGACAGGTTACAGATACGCACACCATATTTACCTTCTGCTTTTTTCATAAATACTCCACTTCCATTTGCCCAGACATAATCGTAGCTGTATTTTTTTGCGACTTGTTTTGCCAACCAATAGATTTTTCTGTTCGCTACCGACAGATGTTCATTCACATATATGTGATTTTCAGGAAAACTGTTATGTACTTCTTTTGCCAGAAGAGGCTTTTTTGTTTTAACTCTGGTTTTTATGGCTGTTAATAAATTATATTTAATATCTGGGGGCTCCAGCGTATCATGTTTTAAGGAGTAATATTTAGGCAATTCACATAACATGAACATTTGGGCTATGTCTATGTGTGAGTAGTAAATGAACATTAGTGTGGGTAATCCATCAGGTTATCAGGTTATCAGGTATCGGTTGACAGTATTACGAATTTCCAGAACTACGTATAATTAAAATGCTATAAAAATGACAATATATTATGTTCAATTGCGAGCATTATTTTTAACTATTATATTACCTACTCACTACTCGACTTTCGCTGCAATTCGCAAAAATGTACAATTACATTATACTACACAAGACTACAAGAGAATCACTTTGTTATTTCATAGTTATTAATAGGGCTAGGATTTTGTAGCATTTGCATTTTCTTTCATAGTACTCCAGGACATAGCTAATCAAAAACAAAATTCGATACATTCATCACCAGAGTTCAAATATGCAATTTTGTTTTTGCTTTTTTTGCTTTTTCTTGTGATATTCGTAAATAAATGCTTTATTGATACTTTTTTGTCAGTTTATTAGCTTTTTAATTGGTTTTTGTTAATTATACGCATATTTTTTAACATTTACGTACATATTTATCTAAATTATTATTTTTTACATTTATTTTAATTGTATAATTATATATATTTTGTGAATTCGTAGTGAAATATTATCGCCTTATCGGAAAAATTGTTTTCAAAATATTACAAAATATCAAAGAAATTTAAAATATCTTATAGTCTTTTTTAATATTTATGTAATAAACAGGTACCTAAAATATAATAAAACAGTTTTTAATTTTTTTTTTTCAATATTTATAAATTGTACTTAGTTGTTAAAAATATTTTTCAGCTAAACTTAAAAATGTTTAAGTCTTTTTTAGTTGCATTATCCTGGTTAAATGCTTTTTTTTGTAGCATTATTGGCAATTTTTTAGTTCCTTTATTGTAGGTTTTTAGTAGGTACTTCATTTTCCTAGCCCTAGTTATTAACTATTACATTACTTGACTTTTTTATACAAATAAAACCATTTAAAAAAGTAGTATTACAGACCATCCCCGATAGGAAAAGGAAACTCACGTTCATATACTAAATCAATTAATTCTAAAACCATGTAACCAAAGAAAAAAGTAAAAAAAAAAATTTATTTTCCAAAATATTTACCACATTATTTTACCAATTTTAGAAATTATTATGTATATCACTTTTTTTATTCTGTAAATTTTGCAATCGATGTTTTTTTATTTTAGGTGCGCTTAACTTACGTCTAGCTTTTCTCCCATAACGCCAATCTTAACCCGTTTTGTAAAATAAAATATTAAAAAGAACACAAAACTTACAGACAACCTTACTGATCGGAGTGTTGTGTTGAAATCTAATGATTCATAAATCATAGGTAGTATTTTTATACTTTGTATTTCCTTAACATTTAAATATATGTTTGTTGTATTAAATTTGGAAAAATATAATTATTATTACTGACTATTATTATTGTCGCCCATTAGTAATGTGCTATACCTATCCAATAATCCTTATCGGCTAATTGATTCTGACTTTCCGAGAATCTATCACGGCCCGTCGGCAGCCGCGCCGCCGAAATAAACTATCGCACGCGCAGGCACATGTCAATACTTTACGAAAAATGAAATATATTCATGTTTGCAATGCTATAAAAACTACTAAAAGCGGTTGTAAATTAAACATACTTCCTGAAGTCCGATTGTAATTTTGAAAATATGGTTGAATTTATAAACTTCTAGACTATGCTCTTTAGGAATCACTTTTTTGATTTAAAATTAGACGTGCCCAAAATAAATACAAATGTAATGCAATTATTTCATGAGATTTTTGAAAAAAAAATCGTTATTTAAGGGTCCTTTAAAATTGAAAATTGAAAATCGACTTCCTAAATAACTTAGATATTTTGTCAAAGAGTTCATACATGTATAAAAAATGAAAATCGGACATTCCTAAGTATGTGTAATTTACTACCGCTTATTGGTCTAAAACGCATGAAAAATACGTCTGCTGCGTTCCCCTTAATACTAAATTCAACTATAATACGACTATTATTTTCATCTTTATGTCTTAAACGGTAAGTTTTGTTTATATGATCTTCTTTAACTTCGACGTTAACAATTTTAGCTAGTGTTGATACAATTAGTTTTAAGTTTTCATTCGTCGTTTTAGGTATACCAGTTATATCCAAGTTGTTAGAAAGTTTTGTCTGTTCGGTACCTAATATTAACATTTCCTTTCAAAATATAAATTTCACGCTCAAGGTTAGAAATTTTATTCTCGTAAGTATTAAGCCTGCCATCATGATCTTTTACTTTTTCTACTATGTTCTGAAATTTTTCATTATACTCATCAACTTTATCAGATAAAAATGACACAGACTTTTCAATTGCACTGAAAGATGTAGTTAAACTATCTAATTTCTTAAGTATTTCAGAGATTGATGATTTCATTTCATTAATATCAGTAGAAGTTGAATAACCTTTATCATGACGGGCATCCAGTATTTTGTCATTTTCTTGACGGTTTTTCCTAGATGTAACATTTTTTTTTATAATTTTATTTTGCTCACATTCATCACAAATCAAGTTTTGCGGATTATCTCTGTATTTATTGTAAGTAGATAAACAGCTTTTGTGAAAAAGTTGATTACAAAAGGAACACGTGATTTTTTTTGCTGGCGAAACGTTCGTCTTACAAACGTTACACGGCATTGTAGATAAGAGAGCGAAAATATATTAGGTAATCAAAACACGACCGCCCAACACAGACCAAGAGTCGTTACTGACTATAATAATTAATAATAATATGGGTAAGTAATTGTATTCGTTGTAACCACGATTTATGAATACCTCGAATCATGGTTGTAACCAATTTCCCATTGGTATTTTTTTTTGTCTTCTATCTTAGAAATACACATAAATACATATTTTACAAAAAAATAGTTATTTTTTCTGGAGGTTATGTAAATTAGTAATTCTTTTGCAATTACATTTAGAGACCTTAAACCAACTTGTAAGGAAGACATTGAAGATTTTTTAGTGCTAACGAATGGTATTACAAGATTATTTTTAGTATTAAATAATAAAATCATTGTATAAGAAATCGATTCAGAGCGAATACGGTATGTCAGTCTAGGTTTAAGACAAATTATATACATATCTATGATATTAAAAAAAAATTGACCTATAATGAATTCCAAATTAATCATATCACAATATCCATTAGGTACTTATAACGCGTTATACACCAACAACAAACCCTGATACTATCATAGATATATAGTAGTATACTTTAGAAGTTTCAAGTAGCCACGAATGATATTATACAACCACACCAAAATAACTAAGATAGTTATTCTAGGTTTTTTATTATGTAATTTCGTCCAAATTTGAATTTAAAATAAACTGTGCTTATGTATTTTTTAGATTGTTTGATAACAGAATTAACTACATACGTGGAATCTTGTTTTAAACTTTCAATCCTTAGATATAAAAGTTAAACATTTTATACATTTTTAACTAAAAAATAATTATTCAATTTTAAATTTGATAAATTTTGTCAAAATTCGTTCTTTAAATGCTTATAAAAAAAATTGGGCCTGCGTATTTTTAATATTTTTCAACTGCTATTGTAACAATATATCAGGATCCTTGTATTCAATTTTCACACTTTTTGGCCCAACAGATAAAACTTTATTGATATTCATAGAATAAAAAAATAAAAAAATTGAAATATGAAATTGCCCGTTAACAGCTCAAAACAAGTCAAAATATTTTGAAAATTTAATCAAGTATAGTATCAAGAAAAATATTTTCGTTTTATATACCTAGGTATTACAATTTTAAAAATTGGTCTTTAAAATAATATTTTATGAAAGTATAATGCTTCTAAGAATTTTTAAAATTTCATTAAATACGCAGATGACACAATACCTAAAATGCATAATATCTACCTGGCTGAAATTTAACTTCACAATATAATATAATATAATATAATATAATATAGTGTTTCGGGCCGAGAGCGAACAATATTAGTACACGTACTCGGACACCAAATCCTTTAACAACGTCACTAACACCTAGGAACCTATACTACAGAACAGCTGCGAGTTTTTTGTAGTTCATACAGCAGTGGTCAGGGTCGCCGAGCAAACACTGTAGAACTACGTGGTGCGTGTTCTGAAATATGTGTGTTAATGTGTGAAACGTGTGTGCGGTTGGACGGACTAACAAACAAAATAACTAGCTCGAATTTGATGGTAACTAAATTATTTTATTACAGTAAAAATATAGGTTAATTTAAAAATCAAGCCGGCCCATCAAATAACAAAATAATAAACAAGGGTATATAATCACAGCAACATTACGGTATAACAATATAATGATAATAATAAACAATAAAAAACTCACTGATATGGCGGTGCGTGGCTGGCCAGCTGCTACCTGTGCCTGTATAATTGATAATACACAAAACTAATAATTTATACACAATACTAGATTCCAGTGTTTGTCATCCCGCCTACGGCGGAAAGACTGTGTGGGTGGTGGTGCATCTTTGTCGGCGATGCTGGGTTTTTTGATCCAGCCTGCGTCGGGAAGGGGGGGTCGTCGGGTATTGTGTTTTGTCGTGTTGGCAGCACTGGTTAAGCGGTAATTTTTGAACTCGGAAGAGTGTCTAGTCGTAAGTCACGCGATTCAAGTCGATCGTAAGACACAGCCAGCCAGGTAGGCAATCCGACTACGTCGGATCGCAGACCATACACCGGGCGTGTATGTCCGGTTCTCGTATGTGTGTTGAAATCGGAAATTCGGGTTCTCTGAGTTTGAGTGTCTAGCTATCAGTCATCTCGATTCCCGAGTGTCGGTTGCAGTGGGGGTGTAAGTCGCTCGTATGCAAGTAGCTAGTCAGGTAGGCAATCCGACTACGTCGGATCGCAGACCATGCACCGGGCGTGTGTGTCCGGTTCTCGTATGTGTGTTGAAATCGGAAATTCGGATTCTGAGTTTGAGTGTCTAGCTATCAGTCATCTCGGGTGAAATCCGATTCCCGAACGGACAATCCGCCTACAGCGAAAAGTGCTCGAAACGGCCGTTCAAATATGAAAAAGTATACAGGAGGTAATAAAATTGTATTTGTTGATAATTATAGAGAACAGTTATCAGGTGTTTTATGTTAGGCTTCACTGTAATCAATGTAATCATTGTTATGTTTTCGCGGTTATAACAAATAAGTCGACAAAATCTAATTTTCTGATTGGATATTTTCTAAAATATACCTTCCATGTATATTTATTTAATTATGAGAATTAAGTCAAATTAACAAATAGATAATTATATTGGTGAATAACAAATTTTATTGAAATGTACTACTATAATATTGAACGTAGGTATCTATAAATGAATACACTACACATACTCTCGTTTCCGACACACTACTCCACCCCGGGACTCGAATTTTCGAAAAAAACGGCAAATGAAGCAGTCATATTACAGTCGTCCTATTTTTTAATATAGTATTTATAATCTGTAGCAGTATTTAACCAAATCGGAATCACGTAAAAACTGTAATATATCAAGTAGGTACTACACGTAGGTTAGTTATATTATAATGTATTATTAAAAGAAACATGTAGGTGCGTCGGTAAATGTTAATTATAATAATTTTTTTGCCCAATAAATATCGTCAAACGAATAATAATAATATATATAATATAATAATGCAAATTAAAAAAAAAAATTAACACTTTCGTTAAAAATGATAAATGTGACGAAAAAAAAAACGCAAAAAAAAGAAATTCGATTTAACACGGCCCCGCCGGCGTTCGAAACCACGACCGTCGAATCACCCGTTTTAACGCCTAACCTACCTAGCCACCTACCGAGATGAAATTAGGAGCCAAATCTATGACTCTTAAGGGCGTTTGAGCGGACCACCATGTCCGCCATCTTCGGACGTTCAAGACGCGAGATTTGCGAAAAAAATCGAACCTCGAGGCGCATGTATATATGCCTGTATATAGCGATACCTACACGGTACCTACTCTCGTTTCTGACACACTACTCCACCCCGGGACTCGAATTTTCGAAAAAAACGGCAAATATAGTCGTACTATTTTTTAATATAGTATTTATAATCTGTAGCAGTATTTAACCAAATCGGAATCACGTAAAAACTGTAATATATCAAGTAGGTACTACACGTAGGTTAGTTATACGTTATTATAATGTGTTAATAAAAGAAACATGTAGGTGCGTCGGTGAAATCAAGTATTAATTAAATGTTAATTTTAATTATTTTTTTGCCCAATAAATATCGTCAAACGAATAATAATAATATATATAATAATATAATGCAAATTTAAAAAAAAAATTAACACTTTCGTTAAAAATGATAAATGTGACGAAAAAAAAACCGTGTCCGCCACCTTCGGACGTTCAAAACGCGAAATTTGCGAAAAAAATCGAACCTCGAGGCGCATGTATATATGCCTGTATTTAGCGATACCTACACGGTACCTACTCTCGTTTCCGACAAACTACGCAGGGAACGCGAATAAGTAGTCGACGGGGAGGGTGATACGACCGAAAGGGGCTAAAACTCTAATTTACTACTATTGAAATGCCAGAGTTTAATCAGTTCTATTAGATCTATTAGTTTATTAATACCGTATTAAACAGTATTTAACCTTAAAACTTTAATAAATCAAGTAGGTACTACATGTAGGTACTACATGTAAGTTAGTTATATTAATATATTGTATTTATAAAAGAAACATATAGGTAAACATATACGGTAAAATCAAGTATTATTATTATTATTTATAAAATAGTATAGTATCATTATACAATTTAGTTACAATTTAAAATATCTACTTTAATATATATTAATATTATTTTGCCAAAAAAAAAAAAAATGTGACGAAAAAAAAAACTCGAAAAAAAAACATTCAATTTATCACGGATGGCGCAATTTATCGCAAATCCCAGAGGCCGGGTTCGAACCCACGACCCTCGAGTCACTTATCCTAACGCCTAACCAACCTAGCCACCTACTCAGATGAAATTCTAAGGCAAATGTATGATTCTTAAGCCGCGTCGCCGTGCTCGCGGCGATAAAATAAAATTCTTATCACTTTCCTTATCAATAAAAACAATATTTAAGAAAATCCCAATAAATCCTATCAAAAACTCAAAACCCCGAGTTTCCCCTTGGCGAGGTGGGTGTTAGTACTCTCCCGGACCAAAATCCATCAAAAAAGCAAAATCCAAAAAGGGGGGGAGGAGGTGCCCCCGTTCCCTAAAGCGGAAAACGGTAGTATTCATAAAAAGAATGGGTTCCCCGTTGGTCCGAGGTCTTTAACTTGAATTCCGGCCGAGTTATACTCAACTCAAAATGTGGGGGGGGTGGGGGCTTTGGTTCCCTAATGTCGAAAATTCATCTGGGGCCTAAAAAATTGAGATGCCCATTGGTACGGGGTCTCTAAGTCGAATACCGGCTAAGTTATACTTGGTCAAAAATAATTACTCGTTTAATGGGTCCCCCCACTCCGCCCGACGGTCGCGGGGTAATCGATTTATAAGACGTTATTATCACGTCAAAAAATTGAAAAACACGGGTTTTTTTTTAATAATAATAATAATGTTCGAAAATATTAGGATCGATAAGGAAAAGGGAGATAAGCGAGCGGAATTTATAGCGAACGCGCGGGAAG